CAATATATGGGATGTACAAGTCTTTAGCTCATCCCATTCGTAGTATACCCGCATTTGATAAGCCAACATGTGATTCAAAACACGTTTGATACATATTCTCCAATAGTTGGGACTATTGGAGATTTTAGATCTTCGTTTGTATCAAAACAGATTGACTCTGTGGTGGACTTTCTAATGAATCGAATGAAGACTCCGCAATATATTGATGTACAAGCTCTTTAGCTCATCCCAATCGTAGTATACTACCGCATTTTATAAGCTACCATCTGATTCAAAACACATGTTTGATACATATTCTCCAATAGTTGGGACTATCATGTTTAGGTCTTCGTATGTATCAAAACAGATTGACTCTGTCGGTCGACATTCTAATGAATCGAGAGATGTGTCCGCAATATATGGGATGTACAAGCTCTTTAGCTCATCCCATTCGTAGTATACGACCGCATTTGATAAGCCACCATCTGATTCAAAACACATGTTTGATACATATTCTCCAATAGTTGGGACAATGATGTTTAGGTCTTCGTTTGTATCAAAACAGATTGACTTTCTAATGAATCGAGAGAGTGTCCGCTATATGGGATGTACAAGCTCTTTAGCTCATCCCATTCGTAGTATACGACCGCATTTGATAAGCCACCATCTGATTCAAAACACATGTTTGATACATATTCTCCAATAGTTGGGATGATGTTTAGGTCTTCGTTTGTATCAAACTCGACTTTCTAATGAAATGAAGTCTCCGCAATATATGGGATGTACAAGCTCTTTAGCTCATCCCATTCGTAGTATACTACCGCATTTGATAAGCCACCATCTGATTCAAAACACATGTTTGATACATATTCTCCTATAGTTGGGACTATGATGTTTAGGTCTTCGTTTGTATCAAAACAGATTGACTCTGTCGGTGGACATTCTAATGAATCGAGAGATGTGTCCGCAATATATGGGATGTACAAGCTCTTTAGCTCATCCCATTCGTAGTATACGACCGCATTTGATAAGCCACCATCTGATTCAAAACACATGTTTGATACATATTCTCCAATAGTTGGGACAATGATGTTTAGGTCTTCGTTTGTATCAAAACAGATTGACTCTGTCGGTGGACATTCTAATGAATCGAAGAAGTCTCCGCAATATATGGGATGTACAAGCTCTTTAGCTCATCCCATTCGTAGTATACGACCGCATTTGATAAGCCACCATCTGATTCAAAACACATGTTTGATACATATTCTGCAATAGTTGGGACAATGATGTTTAGGTCTTCGTTTGTATCGAAACAGATTGACTCTGTCGGTGGACATTCTAATGAATCGAAAGAAGTGTCCGCAATATAAGGGACAATGATGTTTAGGTCTTCGTTTGTATCAAAACAGATTGACTTTCTAATGAATCGAAAGAAGTGTCCACAATATATGGGATGTACAAGCTCTTTAGCTCATCCCATTCGTAGTATACTACTGCATTTGATAAGCCACCATCTAATTCAAAACACGTTTGATTCAAATTCTCCAATAGTTGGGACTATTGGAGATGTTTAGATCTTCGTTTGTATCAAAACAGATTGACTCCATGGTGGACTTTCTAATGAATCATATGAAGTCTGCGCAATATATTTGATGTACAAGCTCTTTAGCTCATCCCATTTGTAGTATACTACCACATTTGATAAGCCACCATCTGATTCAAAACACATGTTTGATACATATTCTCCTATAGTTGGGACTATGATGTTTAGGTCTTTGTTTGTATCGAAACAGATTGACTCCGTGGTGGACTTTCTAATGAATCGAATGAAGACTCCGCAATATATTTGATGTACAAGCTCTTTAGCTCATCCCATTCGTAGTATACTACCGCATTTGATAAGCCACCATCTGATTCAAAACACATGTTTGATACATATTCTCCAATAGTTGGGAATATGATGTTTAGGTCTTCGTGTGTATAAAAACAGATTGACTCTGTCGGTGGACATTCTAATGAATCGAGAGATGTGTCCGCAATATATGGGATGTACAAGCTCTTTAGCTCATCCCATTCGTAGTATACTACCGCATTTGATAAGCCACCATGATTCAAAACACGTTTGATACATATTCTCCAATAGTTGGGACTATTGGAGATATTTAGATCTTCGTTTGTATCAAAACAGATTGACTCCGTGGTGGACTTTCTAATGAATCGAATGAAGACTCCGCAATATATTTTGATGTACAAGCTCTTTAGCTCATCCCAATCGTAGTATACTACCGCATTAAGATAAGCCACCATCTGATTCAAAACACATGTTTGATACATATTCTCCAATAGTTGGGACTATCATGTTTAGGTCTTCGTGTGTATAAAAACAGATTGACTCTGTCGGTCGACATTCTAATGAATCGAAAAGAGTGTCCGCATATAGGGACAATGATGTTTAGGTCTTTTTGTATCAAAACAGATTGGCTTTCTAATGAATCGAATGAAATGTCCACAATATATGGATGTACAAGCTCTTTAGCTCATCCCGTTCGTAGTATACTACCGCATTTGATAAGCCACCATCTGATTCAAAACACATGTTTGATACATATTCTCCAATAGTTGGGACTATGATGTTTAGGTCTTCGTGTGTATAAAAACAGATTGACTCTGTCGGTGGACATTCTAATGAATCGAGAGATGTGTCCGCAATATATGGGATGTACAAGGCTCTTTAGCTCATCCCATTCGTAGTATACTACCGCATTTGATAAGCCACCATCTGATTCAAAACACGTTTGATACATATTCTCCAATAGTTGGGACTATTGGAGATATTGGAGATGTTTAGATCTTCGTTTGTATCAAAACAGATTGACTCCGTGGTGGACTTTCTAATGAATCGAATGAAGTCTCCGCAATATATTGATGTACAAGCTCTTTAGCTCATCCCAATTCGTAGTATACTACCGCATTTTATAAGCTACCATCTGATTCAAAACACATGTTTGATACATATTCTCCAATAGTTGGGACTATCATGTTTAGGTCTTCGTGTGTATCAAAACAGATTGACTCTGTCGGTGGACATTCTAATGAATCGAGAGATGTGTCCGCAATATATGGGATGTACAAGCTCTTTAGCTCATCCCATTCGTAGTATACGACCGCATTTGATAAGCCACCATCTGATTCAAAACACATGTTTGATACATATTCTCCAATAGTTGGGACTATGATGTTTAGGTCTTCGTATGTATCAAAACAGATTGACTCTGTCGGTGGACATTCTAATGAATCGAGAGAAGTGTCCGCAATATATGGGATGTACAAGCTCTTTAGCTCATCCCATTCGTAGTATACTACCGCATTTGATAAGCCACCATCTGATTCAAAACACATGTTTGATACATATTCTCCAATAGTTGGGACTATTGGAGATGTTTAGATCTTCGTTTGTATCAAAACAGATTGACTCCGTGGTGGACTTTCTAATGAATCGATGAAGACTCCGCAATATATGGGATGTACAAGCTCTTTAGCTCATCCCATTCGTAGTATACTACCGCATTTTATAAGCCTACCATCTGATTCAAAACACATGTTTGATACATATTCTCCAATAGTTGGGACTATCATGTTTAGGTCTTCGTTTGTATCAAAACAGATTGACTTTCTAATGAATCGAATGAAGTCTCCGCAATATATGGGATGTACAAGCTCTTTAGCTCATCCCATTCGTAGTATACTACCGCATTTGATAAGCCACCATGTGATTCAAAACACGTTTGATACATATTCTCCAATAGTTGGGACTATTGGAGATATTTAGATCTTCGTTTGTATCAAAACAGATTGACTCCGTGGTGGACTTTCTAATGAATCGAATGAAGACTCCGCAATATTTGGGATGTACAAGCTCTTTAGCTCATCCCAATCGTAGTATACTACCGCATTAATGCCTACCATCTGATTCAAAACACATGTTTGATACATATTCTCCAATAGTTGGGACTATCATGTTTAGGTCTTCGTGTGTATAAAAACAGATTGACTCTGTCGGTGGACATTCTAATGAATCGAGAGATGTGTCCGCAATATATGGGATGTACAAGGTCTTTAGCTCATCCCATTCGTAGTATACTACCGCATTTGATAAGCCACCATCTGATTCAAAACACATGTTTGATACATATTCTGCAATAGTTGGGACAATGATGTTTAGGTCTTCGTTTGTATAGAAACAGATTGACTCTGTCGGTGGACATTCTAATGAATCGAAAGAATTGTCCGCAATATAAGGGACAATGATGTTTAGGTCTTCGTTTGTATCAAAACAGATTGACTTTCTAATGAATCGAATGAAGTCTCGCAATATATGGGATGTACAAGCTCTTTAGCTCATCCCATTCGTAGTATACTACCGCATTTGATAAGCCACCATCTGATTCAAAACACATGTTTGATACATATTCTCCAATAGTTGGGACTATTATGTTTAGGTCTTTGTTTGTATCGAAACAGATCGACTCTGTCGGTGGACTTTCTAATGAATCGAATGAAGTGTCCGCAATATATGGGATGTACAAGCTCTTTAGCTCATCCCATTCGTAGTATACTACCGCATTTGATAAGCCACCATCTGATTCAAAACACATGTTTGATACATATTCTCCAATAGTTGGGACTATGATGTTTAGGTCTTCGTTTGTATCAAAACAGATTGACTCTGTCGGTGGACTTTCTAATGAATCGAGTGAAGTGTCCGCAATATATGGGATGTACAAGCTCTTTAGCTCATCCCATTCGTAGTATACTACCGCATTTGATAAGCCACCATCTGATTCAAAACACATGTTTGATACATATTCTCCAATAGTTGGGACTATGATGTTTAGGTCTTTGTTTGTATCGAAACAGATCGACTCTGTCGGTGGACTTTCTAATGAATCGAATGAAGTCTCCGCAATATATGGGATGTACAAGCTCTTTAGCTCATCCCATTCGTAGTATACTACCGCATTTGATAAGCCACCATCTGATTCAAAACACATGTTTGATACATATTCTCCAATAGTTGGGACTATGATGTTTAGGTCTTCGTTTGTATCAAAACAGATTGACTCTGTCGGTGGACTTTCTAATGAATCGAATGAGGTCTCCGCAATATATGGGATGTACAAGCTCTTTAGCTCATCCCATTCGTAGTATACGACCGCATTTGATAAGCCACCATCTGATTCAAAACACATGTTTGATACATATTCTCCAATAGTTGGGACTATGATGTTTAGGTCTTCGTTTGTATCAAAACAGATTGACTCTGTCGGTGGACATTCTAATGATTCGAGAGAAGTGTCCGCAATATATGGGATGTACAAGCTCTTTAGCTCATCCCATTCGTATTATAGTATACTACCGCATTTGATAAGCCACCATCTGATTCAAAACACGTTTGATACACTATTGGAGATATTGGAGATGTTTAGGATCTTCGTTTGTATCAAAACAGATTGACTCCGTGGTGGACTTTCTAATGAAACGAAAGAAGTGTCCGATATATATGGGATGTACAAGCTCTTTAGCTCATCCCATTCGTAGTATACTACCGCATTTGATAAGCCACCATCTGATTCAAAACTCATGTTTGATACATATTCTCCTATAGTTGGGACTATGATGTTTAGGTCTTTGTTTGTATCGAAACAGATTGACTCCGTGGTGGACTTTCTAATGAATTTAATGAAGACTCCGCAATATATTTGATGTACAAGCTCTTTAGCTCATCCCATTCGTAGTATACTACCGCATTCGATAAGCCACCATCTGATTCAAAACACATGTTTGATACATATTCTCCAATAGTTGGGACTATGATGTTTAGGTCTTCGTGTGTATCAAAACAGATTGACTCTGTCGGTGGACATTCTAATGAATCGAGAGATGTGTCCGCAATATATGGGATGTACAAGGCTCTTTAGCTCATCCCATTCGTAGTATACTACCGCATTTGATAAGCCAACATCTGATTCAAAACACATGTTTGATACATATTCTCCAATAGTTGGGACTATTGGAGATATTTAGATCTTCGTTTGTATCAAAACAGATTGACTCCGTGGTGGACTTTCTAATGAATCGAATGAAGACTCCGCAATATATGTTTGATGTACAAGCTCTTTAGCTCATCATCCCATTCGTAGTATACTACCGCATTTGATAAGCCACCATCTGATTCAAAACACATGTTTGATACATATTCTCCAATAGTTGGGACTATCATTTAGGTCTTCGTTTGTATCAAAAACAGATTGACTCTGTCGGTGGACATTCTAATGAATCGAGAGATGTGTCCGCAATATATGGGATGTACAAGCTCTTTAGCTCATCCCATTCGTAGTATACTACCGCATTTGATAAGCCACCATCTGATTCAAAAACATGTTTGATACATATTCTCCAATAGTTGGGACTATGATGTTTAGGTCTTCGTTTGTATCAAAACAGATTGACTCTGTCGGTGGACTTTCTAATGAATCGAATGAGATGTGTCCGCAATATATGGGATGTACAAGCTCTTTAGCTCATCCCATTCGTAGTATACTACCGCATTTGATAAGCCACCATCTGATTCAAAACACATGTTTGATACATATTCTCCAATAGTTGGGACTATGATGTTTAGGTCTTCGTGTGTATCAAAACAGATTGACTCTGTCGGTGGACATTCTAATGAATCGAGAGATGTGTCCGCAATATATGGGATGTACAAGCTCTTTAGCTCATCCCATTCGTAGTATACTACCGCATTTGATAAGCCACCATCTGATTCAAAACACATGTTTGATACATATTCTCCA